ATTGAGAAAGTACAAAATCCCAACTGAATATTTTCAATAAATTAAGTTTCACAAGGCAAAAAGTCCTAGTTCATCAAACAGCTATGAACTGATCATTAAAAAATTAAAATCAGAAGCGAAAACCTGTTTAAGTAAGTTTGAAATGGCTTAAAAATCTCATTCAGAAACCGGGTGTTAGTCTAGTAGCTCCATGCTTTACTGCCTGCGAAGTCTCCATATTGTCTAAAAATGTAATATAATCGTAAAACTATAGTATTCTACATACTTACAGTATAATTATTCAATTATATGGAGAAATAGAATTACTTTCATATTAATACATCACTTATTAATATTTAAAGGCGCCCTTTTTCACGATATGAATAAATTAGCTAGAAGCTATTGAAATTTTAGGAAAATAGAATAATTTGTTTTTAATTTTTATGCCATTATTACAATGGAATAATCTTTTGGCATTTTGAGCTGCCTATATTGTTTTCGTAACTTAAGTAGAAAATGTAATAGAAAAAACGCTACATGCGTTTTAATCAATGATAAGTTACACCATAACCAGACTGTTATTTCTCTTATTCACTAAAATGTATACAAAGAGAAATTATGGTGTGTTAGTAGCTTTATATTCTTTCCACGTTTGTACGCGTCCAAGGGAATGTGCGAGTGAAAAACAGTAAAGAATAACGCTAACGGACCGAAAACAATCAATCAAGTGCGAGGGAAATGAATAGGCGATATTGACACAGAGGACACTTGAAGCGAGTGACGAGACAAGCGTGGAAGTTTAATCGATAAATCGAACGTTTCACATACAAGCAACAGTTTGTATTTCATATTATTATTAATGCATTCAGAAATATTGTTTTGGAAACGAAATGTCGTAAAAATGTTAATGGAATAAAATAAAATTTTTATTACACATGAAAAAAGTATGACATGAACGTAAAGGAACCAAAACACGTGTGTAAAGATCGTATCTACCATGTGACTCACGGTTGTCTTTGCCTAACTTATGATAAGGAGTCCGGACCCCTTCACAATCGCTTGTCAAGACATATGTAGTACTACTGAAATTACTTAAGACATTTTTTTTATATTCATAAACTGAATATATAAAAGGGTTTAGCCGGATACGTATGACGAGTCGGCCCCCAAATGGGAATCGATATTGAAACTTATGTTTTAATATAGACTTGATGTTCAAACACGATTTATGTACTTTTCGCGACCGACTTCCGCTTTGACCTTGAGATAGAGAGCAAAATATCCGTATGCTTGACTATTACTGAATGTGATATATCTCTGATGCTAATTAAGATAAAGAAGTGAAACTAACGCGAGGTGTTAGGTTACATTACAGAGTATATCACATATATTTTCTTATAATTTTTAGAATAAAAAATTACATAAAAAAAATAAAAATAAAAAAAAAACATGTTTTTTTTTTCTGAGTTCTCTGTGACTTACAATCACGAAATTAATATATGTTATGCTCCTTTGTGTGCTCTATCACCCATAAAAATTGCGTGAAAAAAAAGTTGGTGCAACACAACGAAAAAAAATTATATGTGATTCGCGCCTTGTAGTGTGAGTGTATAAACAAACAAGTTCGAACTTGTTATCGAGCTGTTTACTGTATCGTTTGTTTAGCTAAAGTAGCAGTCATTTGTATTACACAAGAAGGCAGTTTGGGACTCAAATTCTGTCATAGGTATTTTGTATCAGCATTTTGAAATTATTAACTATCGAACCATCATTACTTAATCATTATTAAGTAATAATGTCGACAAAGTGTAAAAATTGTAACAAGTACCTGTGTAAGATTCCTGGTTATAAAAAAATTATATAGAATGAAGAAGAAGCTAAAGTGTTTAGTGACTGTTTGAATAAAATCGTAATAGTTAATGATATTTTTTGTAAGAAGTGTCGACTTATCCCATATATTAACAAAAAAGCTTCTACTTCTAAATGTGCAGCATTTAACTTGGCCGAAATAATGGACGATCAAAATAATCTCTCAGTACAATATGTGAAATCAGCACCTAATATCATCAAAGCAGAAGTAAAATTAAGACATATAAATAGAAAAGTCTATCGAATTTACATTCACTATATTTCCAAAGGTAATGACTACAATAGTATTCTTCGTTATTTCTGTGGCGAACGTACAGTGGGATGCTGTTCTCATGTAGCAGCTATTATTTATTATCTATCATATGGATGATATTTGTCCAAAATCGTACGTCCTGCTGAGGTCCTAGCTAAGTTATTTGCGACTCAAAGTGTTCCGATTGTAATTAATTACAACAGTGACGATGATTAATATTTTGTTTCTTGTATTTTGATAGACACGAAAAAGTAATAATAATAAGTATTGAACACTGGCTGTTTTTTTTTTCATTTCTTTTTTAACTATTATCCCATCTCTTAAGACTAGTTAATTATGTTTTAAAACAAGCTGATGTGAAATTTCGCAAAAAAAAAACAATAATGTAATGTGAAATCCTTATAATACAGGGGTATACCATAAGACAGAAATCACATATAATTTTTTTTCGTTGTGTTGCACCAACTTTTTTTTCACCCAATTTTTATGGGTAATAGAGCACACAAAGGAGCATAACATATATTAATTTCGTGATTGTAAGTCACAGAGAACTCAGAAAAAAAAACATGTTTTTTTTATTTTTTATTTTTTTTATGTAATTTTTTATTCTAAAAATTATAAAAAAATATATGTGATATACTCTGTAATGTAACCTAACACCTCGCGTTAGTTTCACTTCTTTATCTTAATTAGCTTCAGAGATATATCACATTCAGTAATAGTCAAGCATACGGATATTTCGCTCTCTATCTCAAGGTCAAAGCGGAAGTCGGTCGCGAAAAGTACATAAATCGTGTTTGAACATCAAGTCGATATTAACACATAAGTTTCAATATCGATTCCCATTTGGGGGCCGACTCGTCATACGTATCCGGCTAAACCCTTTGAAACAGTAAACTGGTTTAAAAGCATTTCGACATGTCATTTTTGTAAATAAAAATATACAAATGCGAAATAACACTCGGCATTCCATTTTCTAAAAATATTTTTCACTATACGTTGATTTATGATTTAAAAGAAGTCTAATAATATCAGCTCAACTCGATTATCAACGTGATGATTGATGGGTTTAATTTTAGATCGTACAATTTTAAGATTCTGTGTCATAGATATTATAATACTTATGCGTTTAAATAACGTAGCACCTTCTTACATTACGACACTGGGAATAGACGATATTTCAATCGCGTACCTACAGACACTTGTTCGTTACACTATGTTTACGCTACTGAAAAAAAAACTACCATTTGAATTTGAAGTGCACAAATTGCTTGAACGTTCAAATTATATTTACAACCGCAATTGTCACGGCGGATATAGTGAGATTAGTTGCTGACTCGTAGTTAGCGAAGTGTAAGAATCGAAATACAAATGTATGTGAGAGTATTCCTGGGCGACACATTGAAGAGTCTCGCGTAGGAGGGCCTTGTATGTAACGTCAAGCATTTGTTGCAGAGTCAGTGTCGTTTAATAGTTAAGAAAATTTCCAACATATTATTTGTATACAATGGATTCTACTTGATTTGACTCTAAGTAAATAAATATTTTATTGGATACGCGCCGAATTCTCTACCCAGTGGACGTCATATTTTGATCAATTTGTTATTTTATTTTAGGATGTTTCTGGCACTATTTTTAAGAAATTTCAATTTCCTTTCCTGTGTGACATCATCATGATCAAGTTATTGATGTCCCTACTGTTGGGGTACAGGCATACCCTATGGATAGAATTTACGAAATACAATGTTTATATCACAGTTAAAGTCTTGTGTATTTCAATATTCACACAAAATTATAAAGGCGAATAATTGCCATTATTTAAATAATTTTCTCCGATTAGAAAGCTCTATCACAAGACTATGTTTTGTTATGTTCAAACAAATCAATCTATTCTAAATTAAGTGACAGTATAAACTGTTCACAAATATTTGGTGTTTACCTTACAAGAGTGCAAAGATTATATTACAAATCATGTTCCGCAAAGAGTGTGCAGTCATCGGCCGAGATAATTTCGACGTAAGCAAGTGTTTACGTGTCCCACTTAACCTTTTGAGAGACAACGTTTATGAATAGTCCTGTTAGATGATTAACATGTTCAGGTGTCATATTCAGCATCACCTGTAGACACACAGTATGACCACTGTTTGAAAAACGAATCATTCAAGCTATTTATTTAGGCGTGTAGAAGTGACATTGGCGATATGGCGGCAAGTAACGCCGAAAACTCAGAACGATACCCGTTCTGGTCGAAGGCTGGTTGGTATACTTCGTTATACCTATAGCGAGTCAATGAGATTATATTCCGTGGCCTGTTCCCTCTGTTGTACAATTATACTAAGTAATTTTCGTTCAATGTATTTGCGACGATTCGGTGGCTTGATCTAAACGTACTTGATCAAGCCACCTAATTTGTTCGTTGTATCGTACAATTATACAGAGACACAAAAGTACTGTATAAATAAGAGTATATACGAGTATTGTACTGTGAATTACTTATAGTAAACGTATTGCTGTTTAATGGCTCTGGATTAGAATCCTTATGAGCGTTTCGTCACATATGCGTAGTTGTTAACATACCATCTGTGAGTAAAAAGCGCTGAATGCAAAAAAAAAAACAAGTCAATTAAATATGATAGGGTACATTAAAATATACAATCGATGTGCCTCACTAATGAGCAAGTGCACAGAAGCCTAAATATTGTAGCACGGCCAATATCAGAATGATTCAATTATCGCGCCTCCACTGAGCGTCAGAGAGACAGACACCTTGTATTATATTTTACATAGTTACAAGTCTTATAAATTTTAATCGTACGTCGGTCGCAATTCGTAGGTCTGTTTTACCATGCGCCTTAGGTCACGTAGTATGTTAGCGTTTCCTTATAATAAATATACTCACTGGTCGTGGTCGTCGAGCAGTCGCCTATCTATTGCTGGCGCGCGCGGCGGCGGCGCTAGCAATCGTTGTGTGTCGGGTGCACATGCTCGGGCAAACGCCGCCGCTGCCTCCGCCGCTGCTTCCTCATCGCACAATGAAGCGTCATCCTCCGCTGAAAGCAAAACATTTCTCAATAGATATTACGAAAAGCTGAGCGTAGAGGACATCGTTTTCAGGCATTTGGAATTTTTTAAAATAATAATTCTCTTTCTTCTTAAGAGTACATCCAAATATCCAACACAGATGTACTATTGGAAAAATTATACTCTTTCTAATTTTATAACAATATCAAGAAATGACAAATTTCTACTGTGCTCAAATTAATTTACTCTCTGCTCACTATTCTGTCAATGACGTCTGCAGTGGCGTGCACCCATAAATTCCAACCAAACCTATATTGTCTAATTCTTACTTACATACTGATATTATAACTCGATGCGAGTATTCATTCAGATCATGTTCTCTGTCTCATGTCTTTGAGAGACTCATGATCATGTGATCATAATTTGGTTAAACTAGTAAAAGTGAATTCTATCAAAATTAGACAGAAATACTATAACGTTCTAGTTAGCAGCATATTTTCAACCGACCGCTATGCTGGCGCCGCCGCCATCGATACTGCCGAAGCTACACTTTTTCCAGCTTATTAGACACACTAACGGTAGGTCAAAACTCGTGTTGTACGAAAATATTTGGATGTGTGTGTGTCCTTGCATGTGTTTCGGTTTTGGGAGCCACTACTTATCGCAACTTGATTAAATTAAAAAGTCATTAAAAGAGTATCGGTTGCGTAATGGGACTTTTAAATTTGGCCGGTGTATCGTTTAAAATGTTTTTCGTCATTTTGTTTTGATTATTTTTCTGAGCACAAATGATTAAGTTGTAATTCATTAAACAATCTTGCTACACGTGCATTAAACAATCTTGCTACACGCAAACTTCGACTCTGGCCGTAGTCGAGTAAAAATTAATGCATTACATATTTTTTTTGTAATAAAAATTATAACGTAGTTATAGACATAGTATAGATATATCTATTTTATGTTTACAAAATAACTCACCCAAAGTAGTATGTTCAAGTTTAGCCCTATTACGTACAAAAAAGATGTAATGACGAAATATCAAAAAAATATTTACATTACTTATCTAAATAATTGTATACACATATTTTACCACCTCAATATGATAAGTATGATAACAAAACTGGGCGTATGACATAATTATGATAGTTTTCAGATAATAAAAAATCTGCAATGCGCAATCATGACTTAGGTTATTACATACAAATGAGAAAAGTGTCATATTCAATGAATTGTGACATTGGTAGCATTTGAGTCAAAACTAACAAGATAAACACTCACAGACAGTTGCACATACGTCCATTAAAATTGTCATTAGTTTAAAGGCGACATTACCTATGCAAATTTGACGTCCATTAGAGCTTAAAAGCGTCATTGAACCTTTAAACATTAAGGTCATTGAACCTTAATGTTTAATAACGACTTTAAGCTCTATTGAAAGTTTGAAAATTTGTATCCTAAAATGGCATTAAACCAATAGACAGTTAACATAAGTCACAACGGACGTTTGTGCCACAAGTATTTTTAAAATTCTGACTAACAGCATTTTTTATGTTTTAAATAATTAAGATAACAGAAGATAATATAAAATGATACAGAAATATAATTATATTTCTTTGATTAGATGGGACTACATAACAATGTAGAGATTAAAATAGAAATCGTGGGCGATATGATGTTGGTGAATTTACAAAATGTGATAAAAAATCAAACTACAAAAGTTATCTCAAAGTAACAAAAATGATTTATATTTACGCTCATTTACAGTTAAAATACATAGTTTATTATTATAACGAATCTACAATTAAGAATCATTGGGTGTAATATTGACAATTGACACACACAGTCAATCCATATGCCATGCGGACAATCAATAAAGTTTTACGTGAAAAATAAATATTCATTCGAAAACTGCTAACAGAGGTGCGAAAATATTTGCTTTAAGTTCACAGTCAAGTCTATTTTATTTGTAAAAGCAATGACCTCTTAATTAATTATACTTAATGTGTTCGAGGAATTTTTGGAGTACATAAAATTATTTTGTCATCGTTATATAGGTCTTTTTTTATCAACTCACAGGATCAAGTGAGTGTGTTTGTGTGTGAAAACTACTGCTTTCTTAGTAAAATAAAGTAATACCTGAACAGTAAAACTCGGATGCTTAACTTTATGCTATGCTCAGTTCCGTTAAACATACAATGGAGTGAGAATAAAGAAAAAAATAAATAAATGTAAATTGATGATAATAGTGCCAAAAGCCCGACTAATATTATACAGAGGATAGTTTTGATAGTTTGTTTATTTGCAACGAAATGGCCACAAAATTACTTGGTCGATTTTTAAAATTATTTCACCTACAATTTATTAAAATTTAAAAAATTAATTATATCTACTAAAATTATATTAATATTAGTCAATGGACTTGTCTAATATTAGTCAATAATATTAGTCAATGGACTTGTCTAATATTAGTCAATAATATTAGTCACAAACTTGACTAAATTTAGTTTTTTGTACACGATGCTTTCAATTATGTATTTAACTTCGACAACAGAAATATAGTAATTAATATATTTTTTGATGATATTATGTAACTGCCGTTCAAACAAAGTCAATATCGAATTAATTTTTCTTTGGCACCAATATCCAACAAATGTTTTCATTAGATTTACATGGACATATAAGTATAGTGAATGTATCCAATACCAAACCGCTTATTGACACCATAATGAGCATCAAACATATCACATCGTACTATTGAATGTCACCCTTCGAGTCCTGAATAAAGCCGCTCCGATAAGACGAAACAATACCTTTTCAGAGTAACAAGTTTGACAGTCCATTCAAGTACTCACAGTCTAACTCGAAGCCTTCGTTGAACATAACACACCTGACAGTATCTGAACGTGACTTAAACAACATAGCGTTTTGGCGGGAAACAAATGTTATATAACACACCACACGATATACGATGTTTTAAGCATAACAAAGATGAAAGATTAATTTTCTTGTATATTCATTTTCTCTTTTTATAAACTCACTTTATTAATTTTGATATCATTAGTTACCACTAAAAACCGTTAAAAAAGTAAACAATAATACTTTTAGTGTTCGTCGACAATAGATAAAATGTGAGTGTAATAATTTGTGAAATTATATGATAACAGGTTGTGGTAAAACAATCACTGTCACTATTAAAAAGATAAGTATCTGTTTACACGTTAGACGAGTTTAGTTGCTGAGTATGTAGGTTCGACTGAACTAGTGTATTGTTTGAACATCCAAGTTTGGGGAATACTCGGTCGATTAGTACAATTAATTTCGTAACATTCGATTACATATGCAAATTGATAGGTCATATAGGTCATCACGTGGTGCAATGATGTTTTGCAACAGTTGTGATAAAAATGTAAAAAAATAGGTGAGGTGGTTGGTAAATTTTGTTTAATTTTTCTCATTAGCACTTTAATTCAAGTAGTAAGAAAAAAATCTTTGGCTGAGTGAGGTAACCCGTGGAAAATAGAAACAACCGGAACCTGTTGTCATCGAAACCGTCGGAGAAAATAACATACCTAGTAACAAGACTACTACCTACTTGCTATTTAGCAAATGAACGATAAACGATCAGTAAATAAGTCGTTGAAAAATGACATTTCAATTCTTGTATTGGCTTCTCTCAATATTTAAAAACTGATTATAAATTCTACTTAGTTTTTAAAGGAGATATGATAGAAGATCTCATACCAAGTTAAAGGTAGCAATATCTAACCATTTTTTATTAATCATGAGATTCATAAATAATGGTATTTGATTATGATAAATCAAAGTGATATCAGATTCAATATTAAAAATTATAATTTGTATTCGTATATAATCACTTTAAATAAATAAAAAACTAAACAATTGAGTATGCAACATCGCTTTGAGCTGTGTGACGTAGTTATTAGTACATTACAGCTAAATTTCTCTTCTTACAAAACTACGGTTTGTCCTGTTTGATGTGTAACGAGATTTTAAGGCATAATAAAAAACTCACTGAATTATGCGGTTGGACTTGTATAGAGTTAAAAAACTAAAATTAAAAAAAAATAGGAATAATTTTGGTAATTCATAAGTTGTTTTATATTTTATTCAAAGAGCAGCTTCTGAGTTACCGAAATAGCGCTGCGTAATTTTCATAAATCTCTGTCTATCTAGTCTTAATTTTCAGAAATCTCTGCTATGCAACTATAACAAAAAAAAAAAACATTTTGGGTGCAATGGTAAGAAGGATACAAGATATATTAATAAATTATAAGGAAGGAGATAGCTTCAAGATAAAAAAATGAAAAAGGTTTTAATTCGGTTTCCAAACTTTGTGAAGTATAGGTGTGGTGGTGTAGATACATCGTTGTTAACTGGTTTTAATCAAACTTGGTGCCTGAGAAAAATATTTTTTAAACTACCTTTAAGAATATATAAGATAATCACAATAATAAATATTTACTTCATGTGAGATTCGGACGTGCAATCCGTGGTTTGTAATCCGGGTTATTGACCGCTATCACCCGGACATTTACGTAAATATAATAAGGTTCAATGCATCAATAACTCAATCGTGCCATGAACGTAAATAATAGGTGACATTAATAAACTGCCAAATGTGCTACGCATGTATCTTAAAAAGTATATGATTTGTAAAATTATTGCCGTAATATTTCTTATTCATAAATCTATTGTTTTTCTTTGAATGCTACTCAGACAAGCCATTTCATTTTTGTCCACTGTCCTTGTTTTGCCTTAATGAACAAAAGAAGACAACAAAATGAGATATGAAAGTAACGATGGGACAAGGATAAGAATAAAAATAATGACAAAGTAATATGTACCTACACGGAAATATGATGTCACTATACGTATGCGAGTTAGGACTTCTTAATCAGTTTAGTGTTCATTAGCAAAATTAATAAAACAACTTTACTATCTTAGACTAATGATAAGAATCTGATGAAAATATTACTATCAATAAATCGGAACCCGTATTATTTCAGGC